TTCTCATTCACTATTGGTTGGAATGTAAAATGGTACAACCGCCTTGGAAAATAGTTGGACAGTATCTTTAAAAAGTTAAATATATGCCTACCATATGACCCAGCCATTGCACCCGTAGGTGTTTATCTAAGATAAAAGAGAAAAGGAAATCTATGACCAAAGATGTATATATAAAAGTCCATAACAGTTCTATTTGTAAGGGCCCCAAACTATAAGCAACTCACATGTTCATCATCTGGTGAGTGGATAAACCAAATTGTGATAATACTCAGCAATAAAAAGCAATAAATTATGTTTAAACCTAAAAATAATCRTAGATGAGTCTTAAGATAATTATGCTGAATAAAAGAAGCCAAGTCCAAAAAATACTTATTATATGATTCTATTTTCATAAAATTCTAGAAAATGCAAACTCATGTACAGTTACAGAGAGCAGATCCGAGGTTGCAAGGAATTGGAGGTCAGGAAGAGCAGGAAGAGAGATTAGAAGCAGCACAAGGAAACTTCTAATCAGCCATGAGAAAGCACCTATTAAATATCAGTCTATATATTTTATGTTAGATGTTCGTGCCACATTAAGCATTAGTAGGAGAGCAAATTCAGACTAACTCACAAGATGAAATTGCACCAAGAGTAATTTGGCACAAAACTCTTGAGTGAGCAGAGCAAGCAGAGAAGATGTAGCTGTCTCGTTTTCCAATAAGGTGACTGATGAGCAATCTTTACTGAAGTCATCTCAAAGCTACGTTTTTCACATTTTTTAGAAAAAAAAAATGGAATAAAAGCAAAGAAAGAAAAGAAGGAACAGAATGGAATAAGTTTATCAAACCGCTGACTTTTTTCCTTGGTTTAAATTGAGCTATAATGCACATACTATAAAATCCACCTTATAAACTGGACATTTCARTGGTTTTCAATATATCAGAGAGTTGTGCAACCATAAACAATATTGATTCCAGAATACTTTTATTTGCCAAAAAGAAACCTATGCCCATCAAGCAGCTGTTCCCCCTTCCTCCTCCTTCCAACTCTGGTCTAGATGATCTACTTCCTGTCTTTATGGACCTGCTAATCTGAACATTTCACATAAATGGAATCATGCAATATGTGGCCTTTTGTGTCTGACTTCTTTCATTTAGCAGACTGTTTTTAATGTTCATCCATGTCATAGCATGTTATCAAAACTTGATTTCTTTTTATGGCTAGATAATATTCCATTGTATAGAATAATATTCCATTTTATAGAAATACTATATTCATCAGCTAATGGACATTTGAGTTGGTTCCAATTTGGGTCTATTATTTTACAAAGACATACCATTTTACATACTCACCAAAAATGTACACAGCTTCTAATTTCTTCACCAGTACTTGTTATTATTATTATTATTATTATTATTATTATCATGGATTGAACTCAGGGGTGCTTATCCACTGAACCACTTTCCTAGCCCTATTTATTTATTTTAAATTTTGAAACGGGTTCTCTTTAAGATGCTTAGGCCCTCACTAAGTTGCTAAGGCTGGTTTTGACCTTGCAATCCTCCTACCTCAGCCTCCCAAATCACTGGGATTACAGGCATGTACCACTGAGCCCAGTTATCCATTTCTTTTAGTGTAGCCATCCTAATGGCTATGAAGTAATACCTCATTGTGATATGTATTTGCATTTCTCTAACGACTAATGATGTTGAACCTCTTTTCAGTCATTGACGTCATAAAATTAACAGTATTAAAACTGGCTGGCTCCTAAGTAAATAACTACCCTGTCCTTCCCCTTTATTCCCTGTGTCAAGATGTATTATTTATTTGTTCATTCAGTGAGCCCATATTGAGGCCAACTCAACCCTGGGTTAAGCACAGTCAAGCATTAAGAAGAAATAGAAATGCCTGATGTTGCCATCAAAAAACTTATAGTTGGGAATAAAAATGACTAAAGAATCATAATGAATTTATATCTTTAAAAACATTCTTAAATGATATGTTTCATAAAAAAATTAAATCAGGTAGAAAATTCCTCTCTAAAGTCCAATGGTCCCTAGACATTTCTGTAGAAAACTAATCCAAAATGAAAATTGCCTAAAAACAATGAGTCTTACGGATTTTGAAAGGTAGAACCAAGGCTTTGTGGCTAAATGGAGTTAAAGTGATATATCCCAGTTCTAATGTGCCCTGGCTCTCACTTGCTGGTGGATTCACTTAACAGCATTTAGTTACATAACATCTTTGTGCAAAGAGCTGACACTCTGGTTGGGCTGTCGGGTCAAATATTCTGTTTCTGGAAACCAAATGTGTGCACTGACAGAGAAATTGTACCAGGCAGGCTGGGAGCTCGTCTCTCTGCTCTCCTGTGCTTCCCAGGGCCTCCTTTCCTCCACCTCCCCAGGCCTGGAGATTGCTTTCTTTGGTTTCCACCAGGGCCAAACCATGGATCCCTGCTGTCTTTTTTCCTAAACTCCCTGAGGTTGGGCCAAACAGACATGTGTGCAGCCTCTTTTATAGAGGATTCAGCAGCTGAACTGGTAATGCTGGAATATGGTGTTAGAGAAGAGACCTTGGCACGCAGTCTGCGTTTCCAAAGTCTTCTCTGCCTTTGCTGATTTTTGAGGAAACAAGAGAAGTAGGCACAGCAGCAAGGCAGAAAAGCATTTGGAATCAGCAAAAACGTCCAACAGCAGATGTCTGTATGTCTAGCATACAAACTAGGGAAAGAAATAGGTTTCTTTAGACTTAATTAAGCAAGTAAGATGCAATAAGATTCTTCCACAATGCTTTCCACTTAATATAATGCTTGTTGAACCAACTGAATAATCAGTCACATGCCTGGAAAACATATAAATAAAAGTATTAAATCCATCTTTCTAATTTCTAAATGTAGCAATTTTATCTYGGCATCAACAGGCATAGGAAAATCCTTAATAAGACCTATGGTCCTGAAAAATCATATGCCCATGACCTTCATTAGTATAATTCACAGCTTAGGCTCTAAACACTTGGATATAAGTCCCAGTGTGCTGCTTACTAATTACGTAACTCTGAGCAAGTCATTAAAATGTCAAAATCTCAATTTCCTTATTGTTAAGGTCTCTTATGCTTCTAAAAGCATTCTGTTCTTATTTGTACTCCTTGTGGTACATGCAGTGCCTCCGGCTTCTTTTACTTAGATTTCAGTTTCTTGCTTCACATCCAGGCCAGCTCCACTTTTCTGCAAAATGAGCAAACATGCCTGAAATTAAAATAAAATAAGGTTCTAAAAAAAATCATAACCCCAACTTTTAAGTTACTCATCTGTCACAAGACAATGAGCATCTATTTTAGCATAATGGTTAGGAGGAAAATGGCCGATTTCTATGAGCATGGCATTTGGTTCCTGACAGACCTGGATTCTGGTTCTGGTTCTGACAGTTATTATCTGTGTAATCTTGGACAAATTACCTGACCTCACAAAGATCAGTTTCTCATTTGTTCTTCCCTGTGCTGCAGTGAGGTTGAAGTGACATCAGACATATTCAGGGTTTAGCACTGGAACTGGCACACACTAAAGGATTAACCATCAATTATTATGTCTTGGCAAACAYGACTTCTAAATTAATTTCTTGGGAATGAAAGTGACATAGACTCAACAGTTATTGAACTCCAAAAGAGTCCCATATGCTAGTTCTCTAATTCCATTCTCCCTCCAACAAAGTCTGCATTTGGATAGCAGTTTACAATTGAAGATCCATTTGCACAAATACTGCATTTTTTCCCTCTGACTTTTAGTTTGTTTCTATTTTTATATGCAATATAGCATTATCCCAATTCCCAATTTTTATACACATAGGAGTGATAAAAATAAAAGAAAGTGGAGCATTGATCAGTTTTGAGCAAATATTCCTAAGTGTTGAGCTAATTTGTTAGTTGTTTTTTTCTTTGATACAACTATTGTAAATAATAGGATTTTATTCATATACATTAATTCAATGTGCATCAGTGTTAAATAATATGCAGGCCTGGGAAATATATTATCTCTTCTATTTAGAGAGAAACAAGTGCTACACTCACGGGCCAGTGTCAGTTCAATCAGGTCTTGCTTGACAATTGACCACAGATGAACAAGACTTGCATATATTGCTATGAACAGTTATTCCAGCCCCAGGCACGGTGGCGCACACCTGTAATCCCAGCAACTCAGGAGGCTGAGGCAGGAGAATCACGAGTTCAAAGCCAGCCTCAGTAAAGGCGAGGGGYGAAGCAACTCAGTGAGACCCTGTCTCTAAATAAAATACTAAATAGGGCTGGGGGTGTGGCTCAGTGGTTGAGTGTCCCTGAGTTTACTCCCTGGTACCAAAAAAAAAAAAAAAACAAAACAAAACAAAGACCAGTTATTCCTATATAAACCTACACACCACCACTGTGTCCCCAGCAGACAGGATTGCTGCAGCATATCCAACAACTACCACTAAAGCGGTGTTTTTCTAGTTGGGCSATTAAAAAAAGACAAAAGAACAACAGCAGAGGTTACATAATTACATGCTGTACTGTTCAGTGCTGGCTGAGAAAGAAGTGGTTTCCAAAAAAATGTTAGGCACCCTGGGCTCTAGAGAAATCCTTTCAGGATCCCAAAATGTAAAACAGACCCAAGGAGACTTGGGTTGATTGAAGAAGGAAKGGAGAATCCCTCTCTGTGGCCCCTCTTGCTGTTTTTAAAAAYTTCCTGGGCTCAAAAATACAGGTAAGATTTGAATGGAAAGAGGAGGGAGGAAGGTATTCCAAATAGGAGGATCCTCAAGAGAAAAGGTAGGAAGGGGGGAGTTCACAAGACCAGGTAATAAGCCTTGGTCATGAACACCTGGTGAGACACAGTGGGTTGGTGGGAAAGGGAACAAACATGGTTGCTTTGGGTTTCCAACAAATATTTTAAGCCTGGAGAAATAGCTAACAAATGCTGTTAAGTTAAAGCAGACCAGAAGCTCAAGGGTGATGGTCAAGTCACGTGTCCCGTCAATTCTCCATTTCAGAGTCATTTCAAGTCGTTGTGAGAGGAAATGGCTTCCGGCATGCCCGAAACGTGGACAGGGTCCTCTGCAGCTTCAAGATCAATGACTCGGTCACACTCAGTAAGTCCTTGCAGAATTGGTGGGTTTTTCAGCCTGCTTCAGGGGAGGGAATTCCCAGCCCATTTTAGAATCTGCAAAGAAGAGTCTTCATCACTGGAAAGTTCTCCAGCAGGGCACAGTTAGCCCTATCGTGCCTTGGTCCTGATCAGAAAAGGTGCCCCTCTGCGTGGGCACAGAACTGAGGGTGTCCCACTTGGGCAGCAGGGCAAGGCTGTGTGAGCCTCCAGTTCCCCACCAGCTTCATTGCTGCAAGCAGAGGTCCTGCTCCTGCCCATTTCCCTCTACAAAGTCAGTCACTCCCAGTTGGCTGTGCAGGCATTGAATAATCAGGGTTTGTGGAGTTGAGGTTTCTTAACAAAGCATTGCAGATTCTCCAGTGGGAAAAAAAAAAAGAGAGATGCCTTAAATTTACTAATCCTGAATAAACCAAAAGCCAAACTATTAGGTTTGCATGCGTAGATTCTGGAACATCTTTCCATCTGGATGATTCTTACTTGGAGTAGCCAAGAAACTCTCATCGTGGTGAATACCTTACATGAAATACAGGAATATGGAAGTAAAACGAAGTGCATTTCATGAGAAAAATGAATTGTCATARTATTGGAACCTGCAGGAGACATTTGCAGCAGGCAAGTTCTTAATTGAAAGCCATATGTGATTCATGGGGCTGTCCAGGAGAGTTGGGGAACACTGACTATGGGAGTTGCAGRTGCCAGGAGCCCTGGTTATTGTTTGCATCTGGCATCCATCACACAGATAATTATTGATTCTGCATCTGCAATGATAAACAGCACTCATAATATACTGCATTTTCCCAAGTGCTCTGTGCTCTCAATGCTGTATCATTTTGTCACAGTGGCTCTAACAGGTAGAAAGAGCAAGGATGAGAGGACCTGCATTTACTAAATGTCTGACCACTCACACTAGTTCTATCCTCCTTAGAGCCCGGGGAGGGAGGTCTGATCCTGTCTTTAAAAAAGAATTGAGAGATGTGCCTTTTTTTTTCCTCCCTGATGTCTTAAAACTCACTTGAATATTTAAACAGAGATATTTAGTGGCTTTCTTACAAACATCTGGAATTCCTGGCCTTGGAATAATATCAAACATTGGAAGCATTCAGAAAGTTTTTCTAAAAATTGGAAATGGTCTCACATATCCAAAAAGTGCGTGCTGTTTGAAAACATTGTGCAATGTCCCTGAGTAGTCAAGGTGGGACAGTTGGATAAGTGCTCCCTGCAGAGTTCTTTTTCCCTTCAATTGTGATGTCACTTAAACCTGCATTCCCTCTCCTGAAACCAAAAACCCAAGTCTAATCAGAAATTCCTGGGGGTTTAATTCGCCTCCCAGACAAGAGAGCTTTCAAATTCAACTTCTATGAAGATAAATGGAAGTCACAGGGTGGGAAAAAAGTGCCTATTCTGTAGTCCATTACTTGAAAGGTCCCACAAGATGCTCTGTTAGGAAAGATGAAATGCCAATGTACAGTAACATTTTGAAGGCTTATTTTCAACTTTAGCATGGAATTTCATTTCTTATGAAACCAGCTCATCCTCTTACTCCCTCTTCTCCTTATATATACTTACCAACACATGCAAAGGCTCTCAGCCTCATTCATATTCAAAAAGAAATAAAGGTCATTAGGTTAGGCAGTTGGCTTAAACCACAAATCTAATTAGCTTCCAGTACAGCACTAACAGTTAAAGAAGACTTTAAAGTTAGGAATAAAATAACAATACAACCCAGTTCACCACTGTTATGTATCATTGATCTGAGGTGTTACATCACTGTCCAATAGAACTCTCAGAGATGATGGAAATCTACTGAAATGCTAGCCAAGACAGTAACCACAAGCCATAGGTGGCTGTTGGGCATTTGAATTAGGGCTAGTGCAATTGAAGAATTGAATTATTAATTTCCTTTTATTTTATTTTATTTTATTTATTTATTTATTTATTTTTAAGAATAAAATTTTTTTTATTGGTTGTTCAAAACATTACAAAGCTCTTGACATATCATATTTCATACATTAGATTGAAGTGGGTTATGAACTCCCAATTTTACCCCTAATTTTAATCAACATAAGTGTACTAGCCACATACGCCAGTGACTACCATATTGGCCAATGCCACGAGCATTATAATACCACAAGAGAACAGATGAAAAATGTCACTGCTTTTTAACATATTTGTATTTTCCTAGAATACTAGAGTTAGCAAAGCTACTAGACTAATAAGAAGATTATCAAGCTCAATGTTTTCAAAATAAAATACCTCACATAAAACAATCAATAGCTGTACCAAAACCCAATAATGACCAGTTAGAAAATATCCTAGGAAAAATGTAGCAACAACAAATATAATCCAGGAACAGTGGTACACACCTGTAATCCCAGTAGCTTGGGAAGCGGAGGCAGGAGTTCAAAGCCAGCCTCAGCAACAGCAAGGCACTAAGCAACTCAGTGAGACCCTGTCTCTAAATAAAATTCAAACTAGGGCTGGAGATGTGGCTCAGTGGTTGAGTGCCCCTGAGTTCAATTCCAAGTACCAAGGGGAAAAAATAAAATAAAATATATATAATCTAGTAAGAACTAATTTGACCATATTTGTAAACATATTTAAAAAGAAAGTTACAAAACTTTGTGAGGGAGATGAAGAAAGTCTGAATAAATAGAGAAGTGGTGTAAACTGAAGGGAGGGCACAGATTCAGGAGGCAAAGCACCAGGAGAAGAATCCTGGCTCTGTGGCCTTAGCAAGTCAGTTAACATCTCCATCCCTCAGTTTCTCTGTCTCCAAAATAAGTATGGTAACAATGGCACCTTTATCACAGGTTGTTATAAGGTTTAAATGTGTGAGTTAGGCTTAGAACAGGGCCTAGCATCTGTAAGCAGCCAATGGCTACTGGCTGCTGGTATGAGTTTATTATTATCACTGTTATTAAGTGGAACAGTAACTGGGTGTTGTAAAAACATCAACTGTCTTCAAATGAATATTTACTTTTAATTCAGTCTCAATGAAAATTCCAGTGGGGCTTATTCAATTAACGAAATAAGTCTTAAGTTTATATGGACGAATAATTGTACCCCCAAAAAGCCAAGAAAAAAAATGTGGAAACTTGCCCTAATCGATTTCAGGAAATATAAAAAGCTGCAGTAATTGAAACAATGTATAACTGGTATAATAATTGGCAAACTGAGCTTCATAATGTGGTCCATAAACAGTTATGTACTTATTAGAATTTAGGATAAAATAAAGTGACCTTTCAAATCAGTAAGGAAAGAGTGAATTATTCAAAAATCACTGTTGAGACATCTGGCTAACCACTTGGAAAAACAATTAAATTTGATTTTTATCTCATACTTTACATTAAAAAATTCCAGATGAACTACAAATTTTAATGTGAACATGAAAACTATAAAATTACTAGAAGGGAACAAAAATAAATATTTGCATAATTACCTGGCAGGCAAAGACTTTTTAAGCATGAAGGGACACACCATGAAAGAAAATTTCAATAGTTCAAGCAAATGTTTTTAAATTCTTCTGTTACCCACTCCAACAAAAAGCAAAAGGAAAACAGAAAACTAGAAAAATGATTTATTATATATATAAAACAAAGGGTCAGTAAACGTAATATAAAGATAGCTCCAAAAATCATCTTTTTTWAAAAAAAAGAAAGAAAACTAATGATCAGTAAACATATGGAAACTGCCCCGTGTAAACAAGGAAATGCAAATTGAAATAATCATTTTTTACTTTATCAACCTGGCAAAGATGAACAAAGACATAATACCTAGTATTGATGAAGATGTAGAGGAGAAGGTTTTCGATCACCATCAGTGAGACAACACTTAGAACTTTTTACAGTTCTTATAATGCATTAAACTGCTTTTATACATTTTTGACCCAGAATTTCAATTTCAACTTCATCAAAAGAAGCGATTGGGAATGTTCACAAAGACTGGACAGTGTAGCTGTTTACCATGATATAGCAAAAGCAAGAGGAAAACAGCTAGATGGTCTAATAAATGTTTCACAATACATAATCTAATATCAACTACAATTTACCCCTAAATAATTAAATAATATTGTACAAGAATAATTCCTGATGTGGAAAAATGTTAATGATATGGCTTCACATGTTAGAATCAGTTACCAAAAAAGTACCTGAATACTCTTTTTCTTTCTCCAAACACACATTTGTATACAGAAAGAAGCTTGGAAAACATCAAAATGTTAACAGCAGTCACCTCTGAATGAGAATGCTATTATTTTCTTCTTTCTATTTGTGTTTTCTAAGTTTTCGGCTATCATATATCCCTTATATAATAAGCAAAAAAAGCTCACTAAAGTTATTTAAAATTTAATTTAAAAATTCTTGTTAATTATATAGAACTAGCATACATCTTAAAGTTAGTGCTTGGTCAGTTCTCCAATCAACAGGCCAAATTCTCTGCTGGCCAAGAAAATATCTTGGAAATCTTCACACAAACTTTATTTATTCTGGCTGCACTTTTTCCTACTCCAGTATTCAGTATGCTGTGCCAAGAAAAGATCTACTTTCAACTGAAAATCCATTTGCAGAGAGATTAGAATGCTAAAATGGAGACACTGGGGTTTGAGCTGAGAATTGATCCATTTTATGCACAGTAAATAATAAATGGACGTTTTAGTAATGCAATAATGAAACATTTGCAGTCTAGCAAGTAGTCYAACCCTGGCATTGCATGGAGACACATGACGTATGACTGTAAACAAAAAGAAAACGATTTTTTTTACAAACTCACTAATATTTCATATATAGGCCGTGCAAGAAATCTGTTTCATGGTTTCATAGGCACGCTSTCATTCTCTAGGCCTGGTTGCACTTTACTTTTCGTATAGTCCCAAAGGATAAAAGTTTGCCCCCTTTGAAGATATTTTCTCAAACTGAACATTAGTCACAAAGGCTAAGAGTTCCAAAGATGGGTTCAGTGTCCCCAAGAAAGACACGCATTTGAATA